GAGTCACACACTCTACCAACTAAGCCAGCCAGGCACCCCCTTTTCTGTTACTTCTAAGGGCAACTGTCTTTGGATTTAGGATTCATTCTAATCTAGGATGATCTCATCTTGAGATTCTTTTCTTAATTACAAATACAAAGATCCGTTTCCAGGTAAGGTCACATTCACAGGTACAGGGAGTTAAGGGTTGGACATATCTTTTGGAGAGACACAATTCAACCTACTACAAAGCATATTTAAACCTTTTAGGAAATAGGGATGTCAGTTTAAATATTAATACCAGGGCAATAAATTATTAAGTAAGACAACCAATCAGAATTACAGACTTTTTAGATGTTAAAGGTTATTTTCACAGGCCACAGCAACAATCTCTGAAGTCAGGGTGTCTCTTAATTAGAATTAACATTTACGAGGAGTTTTATGGTACAAACTAGTATCTGCTTTTCTGACTTTCTAGAAGACTAAACATTTTTCCTTATCTTACTGAGATTTCTTTTACCATAATTATGAGGGTCTGTGGTTTTTCAAGACCAAGTCTTAGAAAGCCATTAGTTAGCAGCAACAGGAAAAAATAGGTATGAGAGCTCAAAACTTACCCTATGGAGGACAAAGGAGCAAAATAGAACAGACACATTTTTCTAATCTTACACCAACAATTTCATTCCAAATGTCTCCTGACAGGCATACACCATATACAGGAAACCATTTCATGCTTCTCACTTTTGCACACTTCAGAAATTGGCATGGATATGCTCAACATGCTGTGTCCATTCACTACCAGGAAGAAGGCTTGATTGGCGTTGAACTATAAGAGCCTTCCAATTATTTTGATGAGTTCACTCATGTTGATGTGATCAGGTGCAAGGAACTCAGTTTTATCCAGGATAGGAAACTGCTTCTAACCCTATATAGTTCCTTCCCCCCCCCCTTGAATGGTTCTCTTATCACTGGGGTTTTGGTAGGATGCTGCTCTTGAGTAACTCCGGCATCTTTTATTCTTTGTTCGAAGGTACAGCACCACTTGAAGGTCTTCTCCAAGGTCTTGGCATGGTAGGTTGAGGTGGTTTGGCAGCAGTGGTGACTCCGACCGTGGTGACAACAACTTCTGCAAAGATCTATGAAATAGCTACTATGTTCCTTCTTCTCCTGGCTCTTCCTCCCTCAAATGTCCCCCTACTCTCTTGTAACTCTTCCTCTATTAGACCCTTCCCATATGAAGGCTATAAACATGCTCAAGACTTGTTCATAAAAATAAAAGCAAAAACAGAAACAAAAACCCTCCCTTATTTCTGTATCCCCTTTTAATCACTACTAGAATCATAGGATTGGTCAAGGGTTGGAGTTTCCTGCTTGCATTTGGCTTTTTTAAAAAGTGTACAGGAGCACCTGGGTGGCTCTGTCAGTTAAGTGTCTGACACTTGATTTAGCCTCTGGTCATGATCTCAGGGTAGTGGGATCGAGCCTCCCCCCACCTTGGGCTCCATGCTCAGCATGCAGTCTACTTGTCCCTCTCCCTCTGCTACTCCCTACCCCCTGCCCTGCTTGCATGTGTGTGCCCTTTCTCTCGCGTGTGCGCGCGCAAATAAATAAATAAAATCTTTAAAAAAAAAAAAGTGCACAGAAATTAGGTGTAAGAGAGAGACTATGGTCTGTCCAGAGCGCCTATTATAAGAGCCCTGTCTGGTCAGGGAAAGAAAATTAGACCACAAAAAAATAATCTGATAGGCAGAGAGAATATGGACATATTCAAAAATAGAAGAGGTAGATGAGGTCAAAGAGACCTAGAGAGATTGAAAGAAAGGTTATAGTCAAACAATTAGATATGAAAGCTTAAAACTTCTTTTTCTTTTAAGATTTTATTTATTTATTTGACAGAGAGAGACACAGCGAGAGAGGGAACACAAGTAGGGGGAGTGGGAGAGGGAGAAGCAGGCTTCCCGCCGAGCAGGGAGCCCGATGCGGGGCTCCATCCCAGGACCCTGAGATCACAACCAGAGCTGAAGGCAGACGCTTAACTGACTGAGCCACCCAGGTGCCCCGAAAGCTTAAAACTTCTGATGAGAAACAATTCTTGGTGAAAGATCAAGGGTATGACCGAATGATCAAGGGATGACCAAAACAAATTCAATGTCTCTAGAAATGAGGAGGCCAAGGAAGACCCTTAGCTAAATTGTCCACGTAGACATGAATGCAGGCAAAGCATGAAGTAATCAAAAAGACTGTAAGCCAGTTCCTCAAATCTAGGAGTAAAGTAGAATACCCAAGATAGAAGGTCAGTAATTGATAGCAATAAGGAGGAATAGAAGATTCTTCAGCTAGATGATACAAACTTAAAGTGGAGGTTTTACACAAGCAGGTATGAATAATTACTTGGCAGTGTCATTGGGGAATTAGAATAACCAGTCTAGTTCTCAGCTGAATGTGGGTGGGGCATAGAAGAATAATTACCACCATTGAAAGGGCAGCAGGGCTTGTGGTGTCCTTGAGGAAGAGCTATTAGAGAAGAAGGTGACTTGACGTAGGGAGAAGACCAGTTGGGAGACTGTCGCTTCATCTGGATGAGAAAGGATGATGGCCTAACCTACCCAGTAGCCGTGAGAATACAAAGAAGGAAATATGTCCTAAAGATATAAAGGACATATATTGCTTTGATAACTAATTAGGTGTGAAGAATAACTAGGAAGAATAAAGGACAACTCTTAGGATTCTGTTTTGGGCAAATGGCTATGAATGTGCTCTTTACTGAAACAGAGGGAGGAGCAGGTTTAAAAAAAATAATGGGATCAGGTTCTGACCTCGTTGTGCCTCTGGAAATGCCCTATAAGCAACCAAAAATATATATTCTAGGCTCATGAGAGAGATTGGGGCTACAGAGATAGATTTGAGAACCGTCATCCCTGAAAGGAAGTCAAAGACAAATAAGGGAAAGAGATCATTTAAGGAGGTGTTTTGTTTTGTTTTAATGAATGAATGAAACCTCTTTATATCTGTGGCTCTGTGTTAATCTTTTTCCTTTTGGTCAGTAGTCCTAATTTGTTATTTTTGTTGAACTTGTTCCCCATCTCCCTCTTGACAAACAATTATTGATCGTGTCCATTGTGCCAGCTATTGGGAATACAAAAGTGAAAAGCATTGTGCTTTCCCTGCTGTTTCTCTAACCTCTCACTACGGTTCTGAGGCTCTTGCCCCTTTTACCAGGCTCTTAATCTTGTCATTACCTTCAATTATTTATAAGAGTATGAACTCTTTCTCCCATTAGACTAAGCCCGAAGGGCAGAGACCCTGTGTCATTCTCTGCTGTATTCTAGACACTAAACAGTGCCTGAAACAAAGCAGACTCTCCAAAAATATTTATTAAGGTAATGAATGAAAAACAACAAAGTTTGACATACAAGCTTGACAAAGTAAACTCTTGTAAACCAATATAACAAAAAGTACAAAAGTCATTGCCATCCTGGTTAATTAATTAATTAATTAATTAATTTTTAAAGATTTTATTTATTTATTTGAGAAAGAGAGAATGAGAGATAGAGAGCACGAGAGGGAAGAGGGTCAGAGGGAGAAGCAGACTCCCTGCTGAGCAGGGAGCCCGATGTGGGACTCGATCCCGGGACTCCACGATCATGACCTGAGCCGAAGGCAGTTGCTTAACCAACTGAGCCACCCAGGCACCCCCTGGTTAATTTATTTGTAATTTATTAATTGAATTAAAAAAGAAAAAATAGGCAAGCAGAAAATAATAGTTACTGCATCTCACACCCATTAAGATGGCTAACAGCAATCACAACAAAAACGGAAAACACCAAGCGTGGGCAAGGGTGTGGAGAAATTGGGACCCTTATGCAATGTTGCTAAAAATGAAAAATTGTGCAGCCACTCTGGAAAACAGTGTGATCTTTCCTCAAAAAATCTAAAGTAGAATTACTCTGTGACCCAGCAATTCCACTTCTGGGTACAGAGCTAAAAGAATTGAAAGCTGGGACTCAAACAGATAAACAACACCCTTATTCATAGCAATATTATTCATAATAGCCAAAAGCAGGAAGCAACCCAAGTGTCCCTCAGTGGATGAATGAATAAACAAAATATGGCACATGCATAAGATAAAATATAATTCAGCCTTAAACAGGAAGGAAATTCTGATGTTCATGAATAAAACTTGGACATGTTATGTGAAATCATCTAGTCACAAAACAAGTACGATTTGCAATGATTCCACTCACTGTACATAAGGTACCTAAAGTAGTTAAATTCATAAAGACAAACTACAATAGCAGTTGCCAGTGCCTGGGAGTACTGCAGTGGAACAAGGAGTTAATATTTAATCGGCACAGAGTTTCCATTTTGCAAGATGAAAAGAGTTCTGGAGATGGATGTGGTGATTGGTTGCACAACAATGGGAAAGCACTTAATACTACTGGAGTGTACATTTTAATATGGTTAAGATGGTACATTTATTGTATTTTACCACAATTTTTAAAATTAATTTTAAAAAAGAGACTATGCACCGGGGCACCCGGGTGGCTCAGTGGGTTAAGCGTCTGCCTTTGGCTCAGGTCATGATCTCAGGGTCCTGGGATCAAGCCCCACAGTGGGCTTCCTGCTCAGCGGAGGGCTTGCTTCTCCCTCTCCCTCTGCTGCTCCCCCTGCTCATGCTCCCTCTCTCTCTCAAATAAATATTTAAAAAATAAAAAAGAGACTAATCACCAAAAAAATTAAAAAACTGATTACTTAGTAACAACCCACATCAATCAAAACGCGTAGGGACCAAGAAACTCGGTCCGCCCAGCCGCAAACCAGCTTGACCGCCAGGCCCTGGGAGCCAGAAACCAAGGGCGGGGAAGGGCCAGGCCTGGGGCTCCGCGCAGGGTGCGGCTGCCCAGAGGCCCCAGCTCAAGGAGGTCACCCGCGGACTGGGCCGCCACTGCGCAAGCGCAAATGGAGGCTGCCGAAGCGCCTTTTAAACGTACCGGAAGTGACGTTTGTAACGCTGAGGCAGGTTCAGGGAAGATTCGGGTAGGTGAGCAGGGCTGGGGCTGTGGTCCTGGGCCACTATGAGCTGCACCATCGAGAAGATCCTGACAGACGCCAAGACGTTGCTGGAACGGCTGCGGGAGCACGACGCGGCCGCAGAGTCGCTAGTGGATCAGTCCGCCGCGCTGCACCGGCGAGTGGCCGCTATGCGGGAGGCGGGGACGGCGCTTCCGGACCAGGTCGGGCAGAGGGTAGGGGGCCGTGCTCGCAGGATCTGTGCACCCGAGGGGTGGAGGGCGAAGGAAGGTGGGAACTCGGCTTTAAGTTTATGCCTAGTCTCAGAGGGTGGCGGTGAGAACGTTCTGCGGGGTCGCGGTTGAGAATGCTGCCCTGGAGCCCCGATTCCTCCTCCTTCGGTTGCATCCGCTGCTGTTCCCCTGTTAACGGCGCGCTTAGTCTGTCTCTGTTTGTCCAGTATCAAGAAGATGCATCCGATATAAAGGACATGTCCAAATTCAAACCTCACATTCTGCTGTCCCAAGAGAATACACAGATTAGAGACTTGCAGCAGGAAAACAGAGGTTAGTCAGGCCTTTTGGTGTAGTTATGATTTTCTCATATCCAGTAATACTTCAAAAGTTCGTGCCAGACTAACTATTCACATCCTGTATGTATCTCCAGATTACTACTTTTTTTTCCCCCAGATTACTACTTTTAAAAGAGTTATTCTGTGATGGCCCAGTAACAATAAAGTTTGTTACATTACCCTTTTTAAGGTCATTTGACTGATTTTGTATCTGTAGGCAGCTTATCAAAAGGGTGCTTAATAGAGTTGAATTATTGCATGGCTTATTTATGTATCCCCATATGGATATTTGCACAACAAGAGTGTTAATATACTCAAGGGCTTGAATTTTTTATGTTTAAACATTAATTGAAATAAACACGTTAAGATTGAAGAGGTTTTTTAAATGTTCTTGTGCAAGGTGGAAGAACTGAATTTTAGCCTCAGGGTATATATTCTTAGGCTTTGTGAGGACATTATTAATGATAGCAGTATGAAGTTATTTGTGTATCAGTTGACAGCTTTCACATGTATCATTCCATTGTATTCTCATATCTTCATTTTGATGTAGATAAGCCCTAGGTACTTAATATTACAATGCAGTTAAGAAATAGGCTCGGAGAGGGTAATAATTTGCATAAGAGTAGTAGTAAGCTTGTAACTCACTGAAGAAATCCATGTCTTCTGATTCTACATCCCATGTTGTTTCTACCAGACTATGCTGCCTCTGCCTAGAAAGTTATTTTTCTTGTAGACCTTAACTGTTGAGTTTTGTAGACTTAAACACTGGTTATAACTTTGCATTCACAATATCTCACGGAGTGTCATAAAATTACAATGTTAAAAGAGTTTTGGCTTTGGGAGCTCTCAGACGTCACTGCCAAGCGATTTTATTTTTTTGATAGAGCTATGGGTTTCCTTGGAGGAACACCAGGATGCTTTGGAACTCATCATGAGCAAGTACCGGAAGCAGATGTTACAATTAATGGTTGCTAAAAAGGCCGTGGATGCTGAACCAGTCCTGAAAGCTCACCAGTCTCACTCTGCAGTAAGAAACTTTGATGAATAAATTCTGAATGAACGGGATTAAAATCTTGAATTGTTTAAAATTGATTACTTGTTTTTGAAGTAAGCTTGTTTTCCTTTCATGTTTATGAAAGGAAAAAATCCACATTCGCTATGGATTTTGCTGTAGCTTTGTAAGGATATGAATAGAAAGAAGGGGGAAAGGGGCTGCTCAGGAGCTTTTTTCTTTCAGTGGGACTAAGGTTTCTCACTCCCACCTGCCCCAAGATCTCTTTTCAAGATGAATGGATGCTTATGCAAACATAAGGCAAGGTAGTGCTGAAGGTGCTCAGTAAATACTTGGTTGTTACTGTACTTTCACTAAAATATAAGCTCCTTGATTGTAAGGAGCATGGGTTCTTCTCTTATCCCTAATATAGTACCTAGCACATAGCAGGCAGTCAGTAAACCTTTGTTAAACTGAACTACATAGCATCATACTATGTTGTTGGAGAGAAGTATGGTTTTTAAAAAATACATGGCATGGTTTCTACACTTTGGTTGCTTATGTTTTAATTTGGGAGAACCAGTAATTGTACTTAAGTTTGTAGAGTGCTTCACAGGTGTCATTGTACATTCATATGTACTATATCATTTAAACCTGGATTGATAGATTGGCATCTCACTATCTGTTCCATGAAATTTATGAAAGATAAGTTTCATCTTAGATTCCTTTGAAAGCATTTTACGGAGTTAACAAAAGTCTTAGGGAACAGGAATATTTTAAATATGTGACTAGCTCTCAAAGTAAATAAATAAATAGCTCTCATCTGGAAGAGAAAAATAAACTATTTTCTGTAATCTGGAGGAAAAAACTTAAACCTTAATACAGTTTAGCTCATATGAAAAACTTGGGAAGAGATATATCCAAAGATAGAATAAGGTACCTTGGAATGTGGTAGGCTTCCTGCCAATAAAAGTATTCAGTGGGTGGTTAGACTAGAATCAATCTTGAAAACAAATTGTGAATACCACAAATGACTTTATTATGGCTTTGCCTCTAAGGACTCAGATTACAGTGAAACTCCTGTGTAACTTCTGTAGCTTAGATTAAATGAACTTTCTAACATCATAATGCACATGTTCTCATGAACTTTGTATCTGCAGAAAAGATAACTTTTTCACCTTTTTTTCTTAATATCTTCACAGGAAATTGAGAGTCAGATTGACAGAATATGTGAAATGGGAGAAGTGATGAGGAAAGCAGTTCAGGTGGATGATGACCAATTTTGTAAAATTCAGGAAAAACTAGCCCAATTAGAGGTAAGATTGTTGCCATTGTAAGCTCACAATATTCAGGGAGTTTTCTCAGAGTCTGGAAGGTATGCCATCACTATCCTAGGCAGTGTTATTAATGTTTTCTGTGTGTTCATGATTTAAAATTAAAATTCCTCCTCCAGGGGTGTCTGGGTGTCTCAGTTGGTTGAGCATCTGACTCTTGATTTCAGCTCAGGTCATGATCCCAGGGATGTGAGATTGAGCCCGGTGTTGGTCTCCACCCTCAGCTTCTGTCTGCTTGAGATCCTCTCCCTCTTCCTCTGCCCCTCCTCCTGTTCTCTCTCTCTCAAAAAATAAATCTTAAAAGCAAACAACTTCTCCATACCCTTTTCAGGAAGGTAAATGTAATCAGCAGCAAGCAGTGAAAATGCCAACTATGTATTGGCTAGAAATTGAGATATTATCATATCAAGAGGGTAGAGAGAGTGGAAGAGACAAATTACATGTGAGCTAAAACCCTCCTCTGGGGACGCCTGGGTGGCTCAGTTGGTTAAGTATCTGCCTTTGGCTCAGGTCGTGATCCTGGGGTCCTGGGATAAGAGCCCCGCATCGGCTCCCTGCTCCACGGGGAGCCTGCTTCTCCCTCTCCCTCTCCCTGCCGCTCCCCCTGCTGTGTGCGCACTCTCTCTCCCCCCACCAGCTTTCTGACAAGTAAATCTTTAAAAAATAAAAAAAATTGGGGGGCATCCGGGTGGCTCAGTCATTGAGCGTCTGCCTTCGGCTCGGGTCATGATCCCAGAGTCCTGGAATTGAGCTCCACATCGGGCTCCCTGCTCAGAGGGAGGCCTGCTTCTCCCTCTCCCATTCCCCCAGCTTGTGTTCCCTCTCTCGCTGTCTCTCTCTCTGTCAAATAAATTAAAAAATAAATAAATAAATAAAAATAAATTTTAAAAATTTTAAATAAATAAAATCCCTCCTGTCATAAAAGGAAGTCAAATAGGTAATATCTAAAATCGATGATCAAGAAATAGCAGAACACGGGGCACCTGGGTGGCTCAGTCATTAAGCGGCTGCCTTCGGCTCAGGTCATGATCCCAGGGTCCTGGGATCGAGCCCCGCATCAGGCTCCCTGCTCTGTGGGAAGCCTGCTTCTCCCTCTCCCACTCCCCCTGCTTGTGTTCCCTCTCTCTCTCTCTCTCTCTGTCAAATAAATAAATAAAATCTTAAAAAAAAAAAAAAAAGAAATACAACAGGCATATTAATAATTATTATTTCTTTATTAATTATGGAAGTAAGTACCAAAAGAAATAGATAAAAGTATTAAAAGTGGGGGCGCCTGGGTGGCTCAGATGGTTAAGCGTCTGCCTTTGGCTCGGGTCACAATCCAGGGTCCTGGGATTGAGCCCCACATCCGGCTCCTCACTCAGCGGGGAGCCTGCCTCTCCCGCTCCCTCTGCCTCTCCCCCTGCTCATGCTTTCTCTCTGTATCTCTGTGTCTCAAATGAATAAATTAAAAAATCTTAAAAAAAAAAAGTATTTTATAAAAGTGGTTGCCTTTGGGGAACAAAGCCAAGGGTCTGCCGTTTATTTTATAAACCTTATAGTCTTGATTCTTTAGAAGTTATTTTCATGTAATGTTTTAACTGTAATAGCAATAATTCAAAAAAAAAGGCATAGGGGTATTAGTATGCCTATAAAATTATGAAGAAAACGCATTACAATAGATGGTTTGAATGTTGCTTATTACCAGATGCTATCATGGTGGGCCCTTTGAGAAGTAACATAAAGAAAAAGATAGGATATCCCTGCTCAGAGTCTAGTGAAAGGAATAAGACTACTACTTATATGAAATGGTTTATACATGCTAGGAGAGATGCACAGTATTAAGGGAAGCACTTTATGTGGTAGACAATTTAATGACCCAGACTCTGGGTGAAGCCTGAGGATGCTATGGTTTACCAGAATTTCCTGCAGAGAGAATAAGGATGAAGAGTGCAAGCTGCCCTACCTGGAAATCAAAGGGAGTGACAGGGTCCCAAGTAGGAATTAGGAGCTGGTTAAAATGATAGAATGACCTTGTCTACACTATCCCTGATTTACTTAGATATGGAAAGAGCCCTAAGGAAATATGGGACAAATTTTATTTATATTGTAAGTGGAAAGAACACAAGCATCAGATTGAAACCCCAGCAATACCACATCCAAGTTCTCTGAGTTTGGATAAGTTTTTGGACTTTTGTGAGCTACAGTGACCTTATCTTAAAGAGAACATGGATGTGGGCAATGGTATCTGCCCTACAGGTTGTTTTGAGATGATATATGTAAGACACCCAGTGGTACCTGACTTCCCCGGTGAGTAGTTTCTTCCCCTTTTTTCCTTTCTCCAAAACATCCAGGAGAGAAGACTGAGCAGAGTCAAAATATTACTAGGAATTTAAAAGGTAGAAGAAACAGTAGTACAACTTGTGGGAACCACAAAAAGTATGACAAGCAGTGAATTCCTCAGGTGGAGAGAGGCTTTGTTTTTTTCTTTGTTGTCCTAAAACAGGGCATGTAGAAATTACTCAGAAAATGTATGTTAAATGATTAATAATTCATGTTTTAGGAAATTCTCGGTTACTTTGTTTCCATAAAATGTTTAAAATTAAAATAATACGCTTTCTGTTCCTGGCCCAAAACAGTGTATCCTGATGCAGTTTAACAGTCAAAATATCTGAAATAAACAAACCTTTTTTTTTTTTCCAGCTTGAAAATAAGGAACTTCGAGAATTACTGTCCATCAGCAGTGAGTCTCTTCAGTTCAGGAAGGAAGACTCAATTGACACTGCTTCCCAAGCCATCAAATAACTCAGCTTCTGAATGACAGCTGGAGATTGTTTATCAAGGAAGGAAGTTATTATCTTTCGAGTATTGTCCATCTAGTGTCTTGCCCCAGACTTGATTTAGTGTTGATTAAAGGTATCAGGTGGCAGTTTAGAATTCGCAGTCAAATTGGCTGTCCACAAACGGTTTTTGGGTATGTTCGTGAAAATACTGAGTTTCACCATTCCTTTCTCTAAGAGACTACTTTTAATTTTCAGTTCTGGGACCTCAATTTATATAAACTGTTATCGGTTCCTTTTTGTTTCTTCACATCTCTCAAACTTAGATCCTTTTATTATAAGCCAGCAATTTTATTTTATATAGGATTATAAATTACAATTCTAAAAAATTTTTAAGAGATTAGCTTTTTAAATCTATTTGGCATAAACCTAGATTTTTTTTTTCCATTTGAGAAAAGTAATACAATTCCACACAACTAGATTGGCAGATTCTCTGATTTGTACTGTCATTCACCTCCTTTGAAGTTTTAAGTCTCTCTGGTGCTAAGAGTTGGCACTTTATGACCTGGTGTCTTTACTCTTAATTTGAGAGAACCTACTGTTAGTCCCCAAGAAACATACTTGAAAATAAGTAACAGTAGGGTCATCATATTGTTCAAAGAATCCTGAGAAATTTGTTCTGTGTGTGTACACATACACATGTATTCTTAATTCAAATGCTGAAAGTAGCTGTTACTCTATTAGATATTAGTAGTCAATTTTTCAGTATTGTCCTCCTTGGAAAACTTCAACTTGGATGGTTTACTCCGTTGAAGAGCATATAATGGGTTTATTCACATCATAGTTTTTAGGTACTACATTCTATTTAATTTATATATAACTTCTATTTTATAGTTAAGAACCATCACTTACTTGGATGTCTTTCATTACTAGTACTGATAGTTCGCTTTCTTTTTAGATCCATTTTTCATGAGGAAGCAAAGTTTTATCACCTAATGAGAGTTACCACATTTGTTGTGCTGTGTAGACAACAAAGCAGTGTTGAGATTCAAATGCTGAGCCGTCAACTAGGCTCACTCATCAATTCACTTGCCTATCTCAGTTTAGTCACATGCCAAATTCACAAATTACTTCATGTTATACTATCCATTTAGGTTTGCCCAAAAATAATTGAAATAATGAATCCTAAACCTGTCCATATTTTCCAGTAGCACTAAGCACCATACTGCAGAGGAGAGACACAGTATTAAAAAGAGTTTGTTGTTAGTGCTTTTGTGTGATATAAAATTTCTTTTGTACTGCCATAAAGAAGTAACTCCAGTTAAAACAATAAAACCTCACTAAGATATCCTGAAAGCATCTGATCCCACTAATACTGAAAGGACTTGGCCTATAGTCATGATCTTTAATGATTAGGTATATGTCATTTAAGAAACTCAAATTTCTATTCAAAGTCCTGCATAGAATTTGAAAAATACTTCCACCCCCACTGTAGGCATTTTTATTTTGTTTCCCAACAGTAAGTAAAACTTAAGTCCAGCCATTTGGCTTGAACTATATGCCCTAAGTGCCACTGTGTGTCCCACGGTTCCACTCAGGAAGCAGGTACCCCTACATGATATGTCCGCTGCCATGGCCAGTTTTCAGTAAAAATGATAAAAGTCATTAAATGGCCCATTAAAGTATGACATGGTGTCTATCTACCTTATGTTCCTTTAAAGTTGTTTATAAAGTTGTTCACATCTCAGATACCAGGATAAATTTATGTTAACTTTTCCCCCTGGCAAATCAAAAGCATGAAGTTTGAGTGAAAGAGCTCTCAGTGCCCTACAAAATGTAAATTCTGGCTGGTGTTAATACAAATACATAATTTCTAATAAAAACATTTTAAGAGTAATAGTTAATTTTACTCAGTAATGAATCTACTTATTAGGAAATACAAAGGTTTATTTTTCACATATATAGCAACCTGTCAAGTAGGGCTTTTCATAAGTATTTTGTAATTAGCATAAGGTAGTCATCAGTATAACTACAAATAGCTGTTTCTTAAATGGTTTTAGAGATTTCCTCATGATTAAAAATCAAAATTATACAATTACAACTCATATTATAAAATTAAAACTGAGTTTGGAAGTACCTTAAAAAATACTTAAAGATTATCCACTTTTACCTTAATAATACTTTACCTTTTATTTTGACTTATAGTAATACATTATGCATAATTTGATTCAAACATTGAAGGTCTATTTCAGTGTTCCCCAAAATGGTTTGCTGGCTACTGAAATAGAAATTTGGGAATGGGATCTAGCAATTTGTATTTTAATAATTGTCCCAGGTAACTTCTAAGGATACTAGTTTGAGAATGTCTAATCTACTATGTACCAGACACTTCATTCAGGATTATGAATAGAAAAAAGGTGGGGGAAAGGCCTTGACACTTTTTGAAGAAAAATTTGGTAGCGAAGACAGACATATAATTACAGTGCAGTGATACATCCAATATGAGGATGTATAGAAGGGGCTATACGGAGGAGAAAGCTTGGTGCTTTCTAGTTATCATATAATCTCCATTTCAACTGTACCTCATTTTACACATACTCAGGCACAAGGAGATTATGCTATATGTCTAAACTAGAACCAAGATTCTAACCCAGAGAGACTCTTAAACATATTCTTAACCACTAAGTTAAGATGCCTTTAAATGCCAAATACTGGTTGGAGTTCAAGTGGTTCTTGATTAGCAAAATGTTTTTAGTAGTAGTGCAAAAGAAATAACCACAGCCCATATACTAGAAAATACGAATTCAATAAATGGAGTCATAACTAATGAGACTTGTCATCTCTTTCTAGAATGATGTAACTGAGAGCTTGTATGCATACAACTAGCATGGACAGTGTTTAATTAGTGGTCTTACCTGTGTACGGAAAAGTGCAGTTCTGTCTTTCAAATCTGCCTCCTTAGTGTGTGGCTTTTCATCCTTCATGTTCTTTTGGTTACAGAAAGGTTGGCGCTGTATCAGATGTCTTGGCCATATTGAAGGCAAGAAAAAAAGGGAAACGGCCTATGCCAACTGTGTGTATACTCTTTTATGAAGAAAAGCAAAGCTTTCCCAGAAATTCCAGACAGATTTCCCTGTCTTAGTTGCCTACCTCTTTAAATGGTCACTTCTATTTGCAAAGGCTGGGTACATAGTTGCCTCAAATAACATCAGTATTCTATTAGCAAGGAGGAAAGACTATTGAGAAAGCAATTAATGATGTCTGACAAGCCCTTTTACATTGAATAGTTTTTAACAAGTGAAAGCATTAGCTGAAGGTGTTGGTGTTGGGTAGCCAAGAGAATGGGCTGTGGCAGACAACTGTCATTTCTTTTCTGGCTGCCCAATATCCTTATTCCTATCCTGTTTAGGGAATCCCTCACCTGATGAGGCAAAGCCTTCCTCCCTCCTAAGAAATTTGAAAGTGTCAGATACATGTTTTCCCGGCCTCTTTTGCAGCTAAGGAAGATGCATCCACCTCAAACTTTAAAGTTAGGCAAAGAAGCAGGAAACTGTACAGAATTCTTTGAGTAAAGGCCTACAACACTGGCTATTATATGCAGTTCCACAGAGGAGCAGCAGAAATGGCTTTAATGACATTCAGTATCCAGTGTCAGCAAAGTCAGTGGTGTAAGCTGCAGTGAAATAGAAAAGACCCCACACAGTGGGGTCTTCACTGAAGCAGTTATCTGAAGAGATTAGAGGCTCTGTAGCCTCTAATTCTGGTTTTCTGGCTGTCTTAGAGATCCTGAGGATTGCTTATTAGCCTTCTAATAAAATCACTTTTTGTTAAACTTATCCTGAATTGCCTATAAAGAATGCTGATTGATAAAATAAGCATAGTTTTAAAAACAACCATGCCAGGAGCACCTGGGTGGCTCAGTTAAGTGCCCAACTCTTGATCTCAGCTCCAGTCTTGATTTCGGGGTTGTGAGTTCAAGCCCCGTGTTGGGCTCCACGATAAGTGAGGAGCCTACTTAAAAACAAAAACAACCATGCAAATATAAATTTTGCCAATTACATAGTGTTGTACTTACATTTTAAAATTTGACACATAAAAGGATGTGTAACATGCAAATAGATTATCAAACATAATCATTTGTCACCTAAGAATTAGAACATTACCCATACTTTGCATTTATCTATTTGAGTTCCTCTCCTGTCTCTCCCCACCTTCCTACTCCCCCTTTTTCATAGTTCTCTCACATGCAAAAAGACCTAAAATATGTATCCCTAAAGTGACATTTTTTAGTTTGGTTCCTTTTTGAGCTTTATAAAAATGGTATCGTATGTTACACGTAGTCTATGGGGATCTGAGTTTTTTCACTCAACATTATGTTTCTGAGATCCTTTTATACATAGCTGTCATTTATTTCCACTGATGTACAATATTTCATTGACTATATAATAGATTGTTAAGATACATATATAATAGTACAATTATGCATTTTAAAAATCCTTGCTAATATCTGACTAATTCTTAATTCTCCATCTACCTCATTTAGATTAGATACATTTCACAATAAGCAGTCATATTGCACATTTTTCAGCTATTTCACTTACAGTTGTCTCAGCAACCTTCAAAGGGAATTAAGGACTATTATCTGCTAATATAATGGAAAGCAGATCATGCTTTTTCTTTTGTTTTTCACAAAGAATCCTGAAAAGGAGGCAGAACCTTCAGAGCTCCTGAATGAACTACAATTCACTCAACATTTGATCTAGCCTCCTGAAAATACCAGTCCTAAGATTCATTTTTTTTCATATTTTAACATCTCTGAAATTAGGATAGGTCTTATACATGTAGGGGTTTGTAATGTAGTTGATTCTAAGCAAAAGCAAAATTGGCCACGTTCCTGATGGCATGACTGGCCAAATGAAAGCTCTTGGTATTCTGGTCAAGAAACTATTTTAAGGGGCGCCTGGGTGGCTCAGTTGATTAAGCATCCGCCTTCGACTCCAGTCATGAGCATGCTTCTCCCTTTCCCTCTGCCTGCTGCTCCCCCTGCTTGTACACTCTCTCTCTATCTCTGTCAAATAAATAAAATCTTTAAAAAAAAAAAAACTATTTTAAGCACTACTTGAGAAGGGAAGAGGGGTTTAGCTGTTGTCTGTGAACTTTCCATTCATGTGAACCTTCTTGTAAGATCAAGAGAGTGCCAGCGTAAGAACCTGGGATATGGCTGTATTCATTCTCTACAGCTATGTAACAGATTACTGCAAATTTAGCACCTTAAAGCAATGCCCATTTATTCTCTTACAATTCTGTAGGTCAGAAGTCCATGCAGGGTTTAACTAGGTTCCCATCTAATGATCTCACAAGGCTGAAATCAAGGTGTCAACATAGGCTAGCATCTCATCTGAGGCTCTGGGCCCTCTCCCAAGTTCACATGGTTGTTGGCAAAATTCATTTCTGTGTAGGGGTAAAACTCCTAGGACTTCAAGGCCAACAGGAGATCATCTCTCTGACCTCCCTTGTCTCCCACCTCTAGACTCCCCTCATAAAAGCTCATCTGAGGGCTGCCTAGGTGACTCAGTCGGTTAAGCGACTGACTCGGTTTGGGCTCAGGTCATGATCTCAGGGTCCTGAGATTGAACCCTGTGTCGGGCTCCACACTCAGCTTGGGGGCTGCTTGAGATTCTCTCCCTCCCGCTCTGCCCCTCCCCTCACTCACACCCTTTCTCTCCTCCAAGAATAAATAAAATCTTAAAAATAAAAAAATAAAAGCTCACCTGCTTAGGTTAGGCCCAACCAGAAGAATCTCCCTCTTGATTAACCCAACTGATCAGAGATCTTAATTACAACTGCAGTAATCTCTTTGTTATAAAGGAGATATGAGGTATCCTCTAATATCCACAGGTCCAGCCCATGCTCAAGAGCAGGGGATTATACACAGCATGTACACTAGGTGGTGGGATTCTTGGTAGCCATCTTAGAATTCTGCCAACCACATGGCTTTTAGCAGCTTGGAATAAAATCCTGGATACAACAATGAAGCACTCTTAGGACATTCTGCATTACCAGTATTCTTGGTGGCCCAAGAATAATTCTGTGAGGAAAAACCTGCACATATATGAGCCAAAAAGAGATTCAGCAAGATCAATGTATGCTAAAATTAGTAAACTAATCTTTAGTTATTTAAGTACATTTTAGTACATTTAAGCAGAAAAAGGTATTTGCCTAGTCTCTTGTTAGTTTCCTAGAGTTACCATAACATTACTACAAATGGATGGCTTAAAACAACAGAAATTTATTCTCAGTTCTGATGGCTAGAAGTGTGAAATTAAGGTGTTGACAAGGTTGGTTCTTCCTGGAGGCTCTAAGGGAGAATGTGTGCCCTCTTTTCTAGCTTCTACCAATTCTTGTATTCCTTGGCTTCTAGATATAGTACTGCAATTTCTGCCTCATCTTCATATAATGTTCCCCCGATATGTCTGTGTCTGTGTCCAAATTCCCCTCTTCTAAGAATACCAGTCATTGGATTAGTGTTTACTGTAATTCAGTATGACTTCATCTTAATTTGATTACATCTGCAAAGACCCTATTCCCAAAAAGGCCACATTCTGAGCTTCTGAGTAGACATGAATTTTGAGAGGACAATTCAATTAAGTATAGTCCCAAAGTTTCTCCCCCCGACCCCAAACATTAGTAATTATAAAGGAAAAATAACAATTTTACTATGAATAATCCTGGCAGACTCCACTTTAACCAATTGATTAAGGCAAACATCACTAATAATACGTTTCAACATCTTATGACCCTTGGTATGATGCAGTGAGACGGGTACATAACCTAAATAATGTTTCAAGGGAAGGATCAGATAAAAACAAGTAGAGGGATGTTTACAAAATAACTGACCGATGTTGTTCCAAAGTGTTCAGATCATGAAAAGTAAGGAACTATCATAGAATGGAGGAGAGTAAGGAGACATAACAACTAAATGCAGGGTGGGATCCTGGATTTGATTCTGGAAAAGAAAATGGATATGAGGGAAAAAACTGACAAAACCTGAATTAATTTTGTAGTTTAGTTAATGTTGTATCAAGGTTAATTTCCTAGTTTTTGAAAATTGTTCTATGGGTTAGGTAAACTTAACATAATGGGAAACTGGGTGAAGAGTTTATGAGAACTTTCTATACAATTTTTCTAATTCTTTTTTAAGTCTAAAATTATCTCAACAGGGACACCTGGGTGGCTCAGTTGGTTAAGCATCTGCCTTTGGCTCAGGTCATGATCCCAGGGTCCTGGGATGAAAGCCCTGCAGGGAGCCCGCTTCTCCCTCTGTCTGCTGCTCCCCCTGCTTGTGCGCATGTGCTCTTTCTCTCTCTCTCTGACAAATAAATAAAATAAAATATTTAAAAAATAAATAAAATAATCTCAACAAATACATATTCTCCTGATTACTAACGAGGCTGAGCATAATTTCAAGTGCTTATTTGCCTATACAATTTTTTATTTTTTTAATTTTATTTTTTTAAACTTTTTTTTTAAAGATTTTATTTATTTGAGAGAGAGAGAGCATGAGCAAGGAGTAGGGGCAGAGCAAGAGAGAGAAGCAGACTCCTCGCTGAGCAGGGAGCCCAATACAGGGCTCAATCCCAGAGCTCCAGAACCATGACCTGAGCCGAAGGCAGATTCCTAACCAGTGAGCCACCCAGGTGCCCCTATGCAGTTTTTTTTTAATGTAGACATTCAAGCCATTCCCCCATTTCTTTTCCTTGACTTTTTCTTATTTATATGTACTAATTTAGTAGTCATGATACTAATACATTATCAGTTTTACGTGTT